CATTTTTGCGCAGCAAAAATATCTATCACTACGTGCCATAGGAAGTGACAGATTTTTATCGTGTTCAATTCTATAACATTCTTTATTATTAAAATGCTTTATTTTAAAATGATTCTATATCCTTAGGTAACTCGTGGTTAAGTTTTTAGGCATAGAATAGCAAGACTATCTTGCATTCCACCATTTAACCCGCTTAGTCGGTTTATGCGTTTAACCTGTACGTTTTTATGTGACACCTTATTTCATCATGTTGATTGGAGATGGTCCTGACTTTCTTGCCGTCTTCCTAACTCTGAGATGCTGTCGTATTAAAATTTCCATACCGTCTGTTATCATTTTTACTAATTTTTGTTCATTGATTGTCTTAGGCTGTCATTCGACAGGGACGCACAGGTCGCAAAAGCTATTCGACTGGTTAAGCTATACGAAGAAGAAGGCGTGCCACGAGACCGCGTATTAATCAAACTTGCCTCCACCTGGGAAGGAGTAGAAGCTGCGAAGTAACGTTTCTACGTCTGATGGTTGCTGCCAATTCATATAAATCGCTAACGTTTATTTCATGGTTCTAAAATACAGATTGCCCATTTTCGAATTGACCTATATGCAATAGGTTCAATCATGTTCTTGATAGAAAGTAGTACATAGTATAGTAGATACGCCTAGTTTTCACCAAACCATTTCTGAGACAATTAATATTTGATGTTTATTTTGCTAGTTTTGTCATGTCGGATCTTTGCCTTAGAAATGTTTATGAATCTTCATAGAGAAGACCGTTGTTATTTTTGTCATGGTCCTCGCAAATGCTATAACTACAGTTTTCTGCTTGTGTTAGCGATTAACGGGCAAATGTTCCTCGAAGTTTTGTTTTCTACTTATCACCGTCGGCTTATCAACCATGTAAATTACGTCTGAGGAAAACGCCCTTTCACTTGCCATGTCATTTTGTTCATAAGGTGTTCTCCATGTAAGGCTTTGAAGGACTGATGATTCATCGGCTTAACCGTTTTATTTATTTGTTTGTTATTATTATGCTACTGTTATTATAAAATTACGATCAATCGTTAATCTTGTTCGTTTCAGGAAACTCGAAAGCACGTTCGATATCAGGTGTAACATGACGTTAATTTTCAATTTCTACCAGGCGGTGGCATGTGCGAAGGCTCATGTTACGCTCATTTCTCCCTTCGTCGGCCGCATCTATGACTGGTATATCAAAAACACCTCAACGAAAGAGTTCTCGATGTCAAATGACCCCGGTAGGTTTTTCTTGTTTTCTTAGAAACTGCCATACTATCGAGTATGTTCTGTTCAGGTGTTCAAAGTGTGATCAGAATTTATAACTATTACAAACGTCACAATTATAACACTGCTATTATGGGTGCATCATTCCGAAACGTGAATCAAATCAAAGGATTGTGCGGCTGCGACCTGCTTACGATCAGGTAAACAAACCTTTTTCTTTTGTTTCAGTCTGCTCCTTAGTCATTTATCTCCTAAATATAGTTTTTATTTTTTTTTCTTTTGTTTTTTTTTGTACCTTCTTTTTTGTCCCATTTCGTTTCTCAGTATATTATGATTTACTTCTCACTTACCAT